ATCAAATTAAAAGTCACAAAATTTTAAAATATATTTTAGAAAAAATCACCGCCATAATAATCGATTGTGCTGGATGGCAAGGTGCAGAAGAGAATAATGTAAGAGTGCACGTCGAGCAGACGTAGGCTTTGCGTGTTGGATGCAGACGTGCGAGTATGAGAGAAACAGAGACAGGGGTTCCCCAAGTCTTTGGCATATAAATGCAGTCACCAGCTTTTTTACACAGATTGACCACCTCTTTAAACTAAAACCCGATTCCCTGCAAAATTCGATGGCCTTATGTCATACATCAACACTGTGATGGAATTTCAAACACTGTCATAGATTCAAAGGGATTCGCACGTAAGCAATACCAAAGCAATGGTTTCAAAATGATGATATACAATCATAATTTCACCATTTTCTCTATCTTCTCAAAAACCTGTTATTTCATCCCTTCCTGTATGTTGAGGAAGTAATATAAATAGAGTATACAGAAAAGGAAGTTCTATTCAGTACAACGTGAAGCTTTTACACAGCAACTCTACATTTTATACCACGAATATTAGCAGTAACAGAATAACCATTCTGCACTAAGTTTGTTAATCCTAATAACCAACTGTGCTGAGCTGTCATGAATGAGTTGACACATTAACATCTAAGCTTCTAGAATATGCTCAACACTGTATGTATGCATGTATAATCGAGAGCATAATCCGAAGTAAATCTGAAAAAGTTGCAGGAGATGGTGTCACCCATATTTGGCTTGTGGAAGAACATAGATTCTGAGCTGAAGGCATCATCAAAATCTAATTTAGAGACATAAATGCCAGCTAGCGTGCTGTGTGGTGAGTTTTGTTGTGAATGCCTTATTTGGCTATACACTCAAAACATTTCCAACAAGCTATAAAGAAATAAATGTTCATCGTGCTTTAAATTGATGACATACTTGACTTTGCTTCAACAAAGAAAACAGCTATAAAACAATTTGGCCGACGTAGGCATCATATTATTTCAGTTTGACTATTGTTCGTGCCATGCCTTCATCCAAAGGAAAATTCTACGGGGCTTGACGAAAAACGATCAACACCACTAATGACGAGCACCATTAATTTAATTTATAAAAATTTAAATTCTAAAGTACTCAATGTATAATTATAAATTAGTTAAAAATTATATTTAAAATAAATAGTAAACTATACCGTGACCACCTAATTAATATTTTTGAAATTTTGTCAATCAAGTCACTCAACTATTTAAATGCATTCAATTAAGTCACTTGTCGTTAATCTTTAAAGGAGAAGATGATGTGACAGTTAAAATATTTGGTATAATTGTACATTTAGTCAATGTTACTTATATATTCTATCAATTTAATCTTAATTTTAATAAATTAAAATAAACTTAACCCTAAAATCTTCTTCAGGACTCCATTTCCCTTTCTTTAATCCATTTTTTGATGGAAATAAAGTAGAGAAAAGTCAAGAAAAGAACTGCTACAAAGTGGAAAAACTTAAAACGTGTAGTGTAGGAAAGTTCACTATTTCTTCATATTGATAAAAGAAAAGAAGTCTATAAATAGGCTTTACATCATAACATATTAACCACCCACGACTCTATCATCATAGCTAAGCCACTAACTCCACTACCAATTAAATAACTAATTTCTAAAGACTCACTCAAACCCACTAACAATTACAACTTTCAATGAATGTTATTAAATATTAACACCCTCTCTTAAACTGAAATCTGCAGATATCAGTTTAACAAGGAAGAATTAATCTTCTGCAAAATCCTCCTTTAGAGCAGCACGTGAACAAACTCCAAGTAGCTCCCTGAGCTTTTGAAATGCTGGAAATTTAAGAGGTTTTGTTAGAATATCAACAATCTGATCTTCACTTCTGCAGTAAACCAAATTAATAACTCCATCATTCTTGAGATCCCTTAAGAAATGATACTTCACATCTACATGCTTGCTTCGACCATGTAGAATAAGATTCTTTGAGAGCTTTATTGCTGAACTGTTATCATAGTAAATAAGAGTAGGACCATCTTCTTTGAACTACAGTTCTTCAAGAATCTTCTTAGGCCAAATAGCTTGACAAGCACAAGCTGTTGCTGCAACAAATTCAGCTTCAGTGGTTGACAATGTGACGATTGGCTGCTTCTTTGATGACCATGAAACAGCTCATGTTCCCAACATGAAAACATACCCAGATGTGCTTTTTCGATCATCAGTATCTCCTGCATAATCACTATCTGTAAAGCCAAACAAATCTGACTTTTCTCCCTTTTTAAAGAATAGCCCAAACTCCTTAGTACCTTGCAAGTACCTAAGAATTATTTTTGCAGCCAAAAGATGAATCTCTGTTGGACACTCCATGTATCTACTAATGACACTTACAGCATGCATTATATCAGGCCTTGTTGCAGTCAAATACATTAAGCTCCCCACAATCTGCTTGTAAAGTGTACTGTTAACCTTGTTTCCTCCCTCATCCTTGTTTAGCTTCAAACCAAACTCAGATGGTGTATTCACAGGATTACAATCCTTCATTTGAAACTTGTCCAAGATTTCTCCCACATACTTCTTTTGAGAAATAAAAATGCCAGCAGAGGATTGAAACACTTCTATGCCAAGAAAGTAATGCATCATGCCAAGATCAGACATTTCAAATTCAGCCATCATGGATTTCTTAAAGCTTTCAAACATGACTGTATTACTTCCAGTATAGATTAGATCATCCACATATAAGCAAACAATGAACATCTTCCCTCCATCTTCAATTTTTATAAAAAGTGTATATTCATGAGGACATTTTTGAAATCCTTCCTTCAAAAAATAAGTTTCTATACGATTATACCTAGCCCGTGGAGCTTGTTTTAATCCATATAGAGCTTTCTTTAACTTATACACTTTATGCTCATTGCCAATTTTTTCATAACCAGGAGGTTGATCGATAAATACCTCTTCTTTCAAATCTCCATGGAGGAAGGCTGATTTCACGTCCAACTGAAAGATAGGCCATGAGTTTTGAGCTGCCATAGCAATCACCAACCTGATTGTATCATGCCTTGTAACCGGAGCAAAAACTTCTTTATAATCAACACCAAACTCCTGCTTGTAACCCTTAGCTACCAAGCGTTCCTTGTGCTTGTCAATCTCACCATTCTCCTTCAGCTTTGTCTTGTATACCCACTTTACGCCAATAGTCTTCTGCCCATTTGGAAGATCACATAGCTCCCATGTATCATTTATTTCAATGGCTGCAATTTCAACATCCATAGCCTTTCTCCATTTTGGTTCTGTGACAGCCACTTCAAAACTAGTAGGATCACAATCTGAAAACAAGGCAAAGTGGGTGAGTGGGTCTTCAGATTGATCAATTCCAGCTACCTCATAATCATGCATCCATGCTGGTCTTCTTCGAACATGTTAAGACCTTTGTGATTCAGCTGCAAGTGGGCTTTGTTCAACTATTGGAATATTTTGAGTGACTTTCGCTTCTTCCCCATCCTCCATAGGCTGCTGCCCTTTCTCTTCATCATCAAAATCTACTGGAATACTTTCTTTAACACCATTTTGATTCCATGACCAAGTGACTTCTTCATCAAATACCACATCACGGCTAATGACAATTTTCATGGTGCTAGGATTGTATAGTTTATAAGCTTTTGACTTATCACTAACACCAAGAAAAATGCATTTTTCTCCCTTATTATCTAGTTTCTTTCTCTTCTCATCTGGAATATGGGCATAGGCAATACACCCAAAAATTCGAAAATGATCTACAGTAGGTTTCCATCCGCTCCATGCTTCCTCTGGTGTCATATTTTGAACAGTAAATATAGGACTTCTGTTCAATATATGAATGCTCCAATTCACTGCTTCAGGCCAAAAACTTTTTGGAATGCCACTTGTTGTCAAAAGGCTTCGCACCATATTCATAATAGTACGGTTCTTCCTCTCGCATACACCATTCTGTTGGGGTGTATAGGCTGCTGTAAGTTGTCTCTTGATTCCATGGTTCTCACAAAAATTTGCAAATTCATGTGAGTTATATTCTCCACCACGATCTGTGCGAAGAACTTTTATTGGGCAACCAACTTCTTTCTCAACAAGTGCTTTATAGCTTTTAAAAGCTACAAAGGCTTCAGATTTTTCTTGCAAAAAATAAACCCATATCTTACAACTATAATCATCAATGAAAGTAATTATATATCTTTTACCTCCATTAGAATGTGGTGTTATTGACCCACAAATGTCGGAATGAACAAGCTCCAATGCTTTCTTCGCTCTCCAAGATTTTCCTTGTGGGAATTGATTACGGTGTTGTTTGCTAACAACACATTCTTCACAAACTTGAGAGGATACTGTAATTTGAGGAAGCCCTGTCACCATGTTTTTTTGTTGTAGTGTTTTCAATCCGCCAAAATTCAGATGCCCATAGCGAAAGTGTCATAGCCACGCCTCATCTTTTAATTTTTCTGAGAAGCACGTATGAGTTGTATTGTGGAGATATAGTGGGAACAAACGATTCGCCGTCATGTTAACTTCAGCAATTAACCCCAACTTTGTGTCTTGAATTTGACATACTCCATCTTTGATAACAATCTCGTATCTTTTTTCTTGTAACTGACCCACACTAAGCAAGTTGGTCTTTAGATCTGGCACAAAATAAAAATTAGCGATAGTGTGAGTGAAATTTCCTTTGGTTTGAATTGTTACTTTTCCTTTTCCCATAACAGAAATTCTGGAGTTGTCACCAAACTTAACAGAGCTACGAAAAGATTCATCCAAGTCAGAAAATGAATCCTTCTCTCCACACATGTGATTGCTGCAGCCAGTGTCTAAAAACCACATTTGTTGTTGAGTTTCTTCTTTCACGTGACACACCATCAAAAGAGACACCTCTTCTTCATTATCTGCAAAATTTGTTTGATCTCCACTTTGTTTATTCAAATCAGTTTGGCATTCTGATTTATAATGGCCATACCTATGGCATCTGAAATATTCAACATTAGACTTGTCTGTTGACTTTGATCGATAAGTTGTCGATGGTGGCCTCCACGTCCTCTGCCTTTTCTTTGAAATTTACTCTCCTGATGATGACTTTGTTGTTGGTTCCCATTTCATTGTTGTTTCTGCCTCCTCGACCTCTACCTTTACCTCTTCCTCTTGAGTTTGAGAAATGAGTAAAGGTGGAAGCCTTCAAAGCTTGCTCCTCTGAAGTTGAACTTCGGTTCATCTTCTGTTCATGGACCAATAAGGAGCTCTGCAATTCATCAAGAGAAAATGTATCTATGTCTTTCGATTCTTCAATCGAACATACGACATAATCAAACTTTGGTGTCAGGGAACGCAATATCTTTTCAACAATGGTGACATCTTCCATCTTCTCACCATGAAAGCACATTTTGTTGCTAATCTTCATAGTCCTGGCACAGTAGCTGGTGACATATTCTCCATCCTTCATTTGTAGAGTCTCAAAATCTCTTCTCAAAGTTTGAAGATGTGCACGCTTCATTCTAGCAGAGCCTTCGTATTTTTTCTTCATGGAATCCCAAATATCTTTGGAAGTTTCTTTGCTAAGAATTATTTCCAAGATGGGACGATCAATTGCCTGGAAGAGGTAGTTTTTTGCCTTCAAATCCTTGAGTTTTCTCCCTTCCAACTCTATTTTCTGGGCATCTGTCAAGACTGCATTAGGTGTTGTTGCTTGAATTCCAGATTCAACAATCGGCCAATACTCTTTGGACCGTAGAAAATTCTCCATTAGCATACTCCAATGGTCATAGTGACCATCAAAACGTGGGATCGCAGCCTGCACAAAATTTGAGTCTGAAGCCATCAATGCTATTTGGAAACTCTCTCTCTTGCTTTTAACCTGGCTCTGATACCACTGATAGAAATAAAGTAGAGAAAAGTCAAGAAAAGAACTGCTACAAAGTGGAAAAACTTGAAACGTGTAGTGTAGGAAAGTTCACTATTTCTTCATATTGATAAAAGAAAAGAAGCCTATAAATAGGCTTTACATCATAACATATTAACCACCCACGACTCTATCATCACAGCTAAGCCACTAACTCCACTACCAATTAAATAACTAATTTCTAAATACTCACTCAAACCCACTAACAGTTATAACTTTCAATGAATGTTATTAAATATTAACATTTTTATCATAGAAGTGAGCTCTCACCATCTTCAAGTTCAAGTAGTTCTCAAGGACAGTTGTCTAGATCTGGTGTGGTACAGATTAAACACAACACATATAGCTCTTATTTATACACCCATAGCACTGACTGGAAAATAAAACGTATTCGGACTAGTGATATGGACTTGCAGGTAACCTCCAATTATCTTCTTTTCCTCCCACATGCGTTTAGGATAATGGTATTAAGGTAATATGTCGCGACTCCTTCACAATGTGGTCGGCATGGATATTTAAGTTATGATAATAATAAGAATAAACAAAAGTAATAATTTGTCGATTGATGAAGAGCCATGATAAACAGACAAGAAGATGGCACACAGATCTGCAGAATGCTTGTTTTAGGAGTAAGTTAATCTAATCTTGCCATGATAAACTAACAATTTCATTTAATATTTTTCATTTGAATAATGTTATTTTTTTCTATCGACCAAGCTTTTGTTTTGCACAGCAATAGATGATTTTATTAATAACATAGATCTGTTAATCAGTGTTAGGAAAAAAACAACCAGTCCTATAAGAATATCAAAATAACCAATAACCAAACACACCCCGCAAAGATGCACAATCGAGAATAGAGACACACAAACAAGTTTATGAAAATTTCTTATCTATTACAGTATTACCACCATGCTCTGAACATAATCACTTTCCTTCATCCGTCCTCTGTAAAAAAAATCTGTTAAGTATATTATTACATTGTCGAGACGGAAAACTGAATAAAAAATTCATCACCTGATTAACTTTTTTTTATCAAAATTTATGAAAAATATTCTAAAATAGTCAAAATCCACAATGCAGATATGTAAAAAACATTATACATTACACCATTTGATTTGAGGGTAAAATTTATTTTAATTTATTAAAAATTAGAACCAAATTGATATAATATATAAGTAACAATAACCAAATGTGTAATTATATCAAATATTTTAACTGTCACATCATCTTCTCCTTTAAATATTAACGGCAAGTGGCTTAATTGAATGTATTTAAATAGTTGAGTGATATGATTGACAAAATTTCAAAAATATTGGACAAAATTTTAAAAATATTGGTCAAAATGAAAAAGGACAATAATTAGGTGGTCACTGATATAGTTTACTCTTTATTTTAAATGATTTATCTTAAATTTTCAACTAATTTATTATTATATACGTTGAGTCATTTAGAATTTAAATTTTTATAAATTAGATTAATGGTGTTCGTCGTTAAACTAATTTATTATTATAGTTGAGTCATTTAGAATTTAATTTTTTATAAATTAGATTAATGATGTTCGTCGTTAGTGGTACTCATCGCTGCTCGTCAAGCGTAGAAGAATATTAACATTTCTTTGATTCACTAGAAAAAAAAGCCAGCCCGTACAACTATGGCGGGTCAAACATATTTCGTGCTAAGGGATTCAAGTTCTTCTCTACATTCAAATCCGTCACGCTTATATATTTAAAAAAAACCTAGTTTTCTCTTATTAGTGTGTCGCTAATATCTTTTCTTTTTCATCTTTATTGATCGTTAACAACACCAACTTTAATGTTAGTTGCTGATCGATGATATTTTTTATTGTCTTTTTCTTTTCTATATTGTATCTCTATTTTCTTTTTTTTCAATAAGTTTACCTGTATGACACGTTTTCATCTGCCTTTATGTTACGTTTTATGGTTGTTTAACTGTTTTTTTTTTCATTTATCTTTTTTAAGGGTTGATTTGATTGTTGGATTAAAATCCATAATTATGGGCACATATTTATAACGCATATTGTTATCATAAAATATGACATAAATTAAGTGACAAATTATGTTATAAAGTCAAGGTATTAAAAGTGTCATGGAAATAAAAGTGTAGATATTATTAAAGTTGTATTTATAATTCGATGTGGGGCAGAGTTATAAGTACAAACAATTATTGATTCCTAAATCAGCTATATAAAAGGGTTATGATCCCCAAGAAATAGACAATCTCGTATTTACCCTTATCCCCGTCAATGAGTTTATACTCAAGAGAACTTTATCTTCTTGGAAGATCTCAACTAAAGAAAGATTCAAGGATTTCAACCCATCAATTAATTCAGGTACGCTTCCGCATCTAATATTTTATTCTTTGTGATTTGGCATGATTTGATTCTAGTTGATTTTCATATTTATTATGATTCTGGTTCTAACAAGTGGTATCATCGCCTCATCATGTTGAATTGTTAGAGTTTGATTCGAATTCAAAGTGGCACAAATTAATTAATATAAAAATATTGTGAAAGTAGGATACCCAATTTGATTAAAAGTAGAAAACTTTATTAAAGTAGATTTATACTTTATTTAGTTTTCCTTTGTAATCAAGTATCTATCCTTATAAATAAATACTAAGGGTCAGAGTTAGAAATCAAGTTTTTCTTTCACCAAAATCCTCTTGTATTTTCTCCTTCATATTAGTGAAATTCTTATCCTCTGCTCGTGATTTTTCCCTTTTGGGGTTTCCACGTAAATCCTGGTGTTCTTTGTTTTTCCTTTTCGATCATGTTTTTTTGTTTGTCGATAATCATCGTTCCAATATTATAACAAATTAGTATCAGAGCTCCGAGTTCAAGATTATGACAATAATTAAGTATGATATTCCACTGTTGGATCGAAACACCAGGTTCTCGCTATGGCATGTGAAGATTCGAGATGTTCTTGCACAGTTAGATCTTAACGATGCAATAGAAGGATTTGATGAGAAGCCGGTAAACAATGGAAGAATGAGGAAAAACGTAAGGATGGTAAAACTCTTTCTCAGGTTCGTTTACACTTATTAAATCAAATTTTACAAGATGTGTTGAAAGAAAAAATAGTTGCATCTTTGTGGGCGAAATTGGAGCAACTTTGCATGCAGAAATCATTGACCAACAAGTTGCACCTAAAGCAACATCTTTATTTGTTCAAGTTGGCGAAATGCTCGTCTCTTGAAGAGCACCCGACAACATTAAAGGAAAATGTCTCTGATCTAGAGACTTTAGAAGTGAAGTATGATCAAGAAGACTTAGTACTGGTCCTCCTATGTTCGCTGCCTTCTTCTTACTCATTTTTCATATATACAATCTTGTACATAAACACTCACTCTTAAAGAAGTTTATAATGGTCTGCACTCGTTTGACAAGATGAAATATCTTGTATCTGGTTTCGAGCCTCAGGCAGATGGTTTCGTGATACATGAATCAACTAGCTCAGACAGAGGGAGAAAAGACGAGCGTTCTTCTAATAATATTGGAAGGGGTTGATCAAAATCTTTCAACAGAGGTAAAACTTGTCACTAGTGTAAAAAGTAGGTCATGTTAAATAAGAGTGTTACAAGTTGCAAAATAAAATCAAAAGAGAAGTTGAAGCGCAGAACTCTGAGAAATCTGGTGAGGCAGTATAGTAAAGGAGTACGATGACGGAGAACTCCTAATTGCGGCTGATGACAACTTTATAACAAGTGATGAATGGATACTTGACTCCGGTAGTAGTTTTCGTATGAGTACTAATCATGACTGGTTTGCGACGTATGAAACTGTTTCTACACATGATGTATTTTTGGGAAATAATGTCCCTTGTAAAGTAGCTGGTATTGGCACAATCAAGCTTAAGATGTTCGATGAGATTGTTCGAACACTTGGTAATGTGAGACATGTTCCAGATTTGAGTAGAAATCTAATTTCGTTAGGTACTCTAGATTCAAAAGGGTATAAATTCTCTAGTGAAGGTGGAGCTATGAAAATTTACAAGGACTCTCTTGTTATTTTGAAAGGGTAGAAAGACTTCCAAGTTTTATGTTCTACAAGTTTCAACAGTTTTAGATAATGCAGTTGGTGTTTCATCCACCGTGTCAAATAACGTTGTTAAACAAAATAACTGAGGTCAGAACTGTTATGTGAAGCAGCAAAGAGTTTAATTTCGCGAATATAATGAATTTGAAGATAGAACTATCATTGATGATCGGATCGTGTTGTGCATGATATTGCTCGTGGTGAAACATTTGTGAGCAAAGTTGGCACTTATGATAACCATATCGATGTGAAGAGTAAATCCAAGCATAGAAAAAGCTTGGATTCGGTTAGTGTCCATTACTGAAGATTACCCTTTTGAGGGGTGTTGTGGAAGAGGTGGAGAACTTGTTCGTTGAAGTGAAGAATTGTTTTTGTTGAGTTTGGGTATCACATCGAATTTGAATGTTTTTGTCTCAAAACCTTTCCACTTTCAGAATTCATGTCAAGGTGGAGATTTGTTAGAGTTTGACTCGAATTCAAAGTAACACAAATTAATTAATATATAAATATTTGGAAAGTAGGAAACCCAATTTCATTAAAAGTAGAAAACTTTTTTAAAATAGATTTATACTTTATTTAGTTTTCCTTTGTAATCAAGTATCTTTCCCTATAAATAGATACTAAGGATCAGGGTTAGAAATCAAGTTTTTCTTTAACCAAAATCCTCTTGTATTTTCTTACTTCATATAGTGAAATTCTTCTCCTCTGCCTGGGATTTTTCCCTTTTGGGTTTTCAATGTAAATCATGGTGTTATTTGTTTTTCCTTTTCGATCGTGTTTATTTGTTTGCCAATAATCATCATTTTGATATTATAATATGTTTGGACTAATGGTTTGATGGATTTTTTTCATATTTGAATACTACACTTTGTAATTATTTTTGTGGAATAATAAAGACTGTTATAAATTATCATTACACATAGAAAATTGGCACATTAAATTTGTGTGCACTATTGATAATATATTGTATGGGATCAAGTGTGTAATATACTGAGATCGCATGTATCGTGTTTAAAGTTTTGACATTCATATGAGTATAAATATCAATGTTTAATTTTTAATTACTGTATGAGATTGATTAATTCTATCATTTGTTTTACTTGTTTGTTGCCCAATAGTATGTCATTAATTGTATGACTTTGATTTCGATTTTAGATATGTTATTGTCACAATTTGTAATTATTTCGTTATGGTTTTATGTATCTAGTTTTGATTTAGTTTGATGAAATAATTATAAAGATTTTTTTTAGAAACAGTTAAAGATTTATGTTTTTGTTTTCTAACGTCTTTTAAACAACCTTATTATATAGGTTACTTTGGAAACCATGAAGTGATTAGAAAATTTAGTTTTGGTTTTTAACTGTTATTATAGAATATATATTTGACATTGATATATTCAATTCAGTTTGATTAAAAAATATTTTTTAAATATTTGGAGAAGATTTAATTCATTAGTATGCACTTGACTTTCTCTTTTGGTAAAATGTTGATTGTTCTGAATTTGGTTTGGCTATATTAATTTATGAAATTATGTTTAAATGCATATTTAAGGAATTCTTCAGAAACAATCAAAGACTTGAGTTTTTCGATTTTGTATAGCATTGTTTATGTAACCTTATTTTGGGTTATTTCGGATTCTGTAGTGCAGTCAGAAATTTTAGTTTTGACCTTTGATTATTATAAAAAATAAATTTAAATACTAATTTGAGACGGCTTAATTAAAATAACAAGTCGTTAAAGTGACCCCAATTATGGAAAATAGTTTATTATAAATATGAAGGAATATGTGAATGTAACTTAGGACATGTTAGTATTGATCGACCCAAAGGATGATTAATAGTTGTCATAATCACATATACAACTTTGATAATAAGCATGTGATAATTATTCGGTTTGTTGTATGAGTAATAAATTGACCCAAAGGAAGATTTTTGCTTGACATGTTCTTGTTATTAATGTTTGGTTATCACCTCAAATATCACTTAAGGTAAATATTTTGTCTAAAGAAAAAATATTAATGGAGCATCTGATATTTTGAGATAAAGTTTAAAGTTATTCAAATTTAATATTATTTTGATTCTCTTTTAATTAAAAGATAAAATTAAGAGAAATTGATTGGTTGACAATATTTATATGATTTCATTTATATTGTTAATGTAATATATGTATATATTCAATTCGGTCTTTCGGTTTTGACTGTTGATTATTAGAATATATATATATATATATATATATATATATATATATATATATATATATATATATACAAATTAATTCATATTTTGGCTAATATTTTAGTAGATTTGTTGAAACAAATCGTCGCCAAAGTGACCTCTTTTGTGTAAACTGATTTATTTGAAATATCAAGATGATTATGTGTTTCTTGTAATTCATGCGTTTATTAATTGGCCCAAAGGAAAGTTAATATTTGGTCGAATTTCAAGCGACACCTGTGTAATAACATGTGATAATTATAAGATATTTTTTATGTGAGCATTACACTAGTCCAAAGATTAATATTTTGTTCAACATAGCTTATTGTAAGAGTTTGATTACTACAAGAGTACTGTTTATTATTAATATTATTGTCCAAAGACTTGATATTGGTATAGTGTTTGATATCTTGTGATGAGAATTAACAATTATTTTGAGTTTATTTGTTTACTTAAGATGTGAGCTTCAATTTTATTTATATTTTGTTCAGTTAATTATTTATTTATTGCTACCATAATATATGCTATTATACACTTTTGTTTATGCTTAAGAAAAATAATCTCAAGGAATGAGAAAATGCACTTACATAAGGTTTTGGTTCTATGAACTTATACTTTTCACTAAAGAAATAACAATTTCCACCTCTCATGATGGATAACATCCTTAATTGGATTTTGAGAGGTGAAATTTGTTCAAATTGCATAAGTCTAGTGGTCATGAAGCACAATATCTAGAAGTATTTAGGGGCACATAATCCGAAAAGATTACTAGGGCTAATGATTTTCTTGACGAAATTGAGAAATATTTCCCCAAAAACAATAAGGTTTAAATGACATAATTTTTTTACTTATTTGATGCCTATAAAGTATAAGGGTAGAAAAATGTGAGGCAATACATTATGGATATGTTTCATATTGCTTCAAGACTTAAGATAGTTAAGATCGAGTTTTTCTGAAGAATTACTTGAAAAGTACATAAAAAGATAAGGGAAAAAATAAAACTAAAATGTAGTTATTAAGGGTCCAACTCGAAAAAGACAATAATATATTATAAAGGGTTGTTCTCTTTTATAATAAGTGTTGAATAATCGAGTAAAGAAAATGGAAAGAACACAAGAATTTTAATGAGGTTCTGCAATGTGCTTACGTCCTCGGTGCCCTAGGCGACGCTAGAATTTTTATTCAATATCTCATAGGTTTTGGTTACATCTCTTTTTATAATAAATAAACATGATACAAATTTACAAAAATATCCCTTAGGAAACATTCAATGTGGGTTGGGTTACCTTACTTCTTTAACAAATCGAAACATTCAACAAGTCCAAGCAATGCATGAACTTGTCTGTCGTAACTGGCTTGGTGAACATATCAGCGGCATTCTCATCAGTATGTACCTTCTGAAACAAAATCTCTCCAGATGCAACTCTCTGATCTTGTGAAACCTTACATCAATATGCTTAGTTTTAGAATGATATACCTGATTCTTAGCCAAGTGAATAGTACTTCTTCTTCACTAAACCAGTAAGCCATAAAACTTTTTTTTACAGCTTCAGCCACTGCCATGTATTCAGCTTCAGTTGTAGATAATGCCACAATAGATTAAACAATAGACTTCCAACAAATAGGCCCTCCACCAAGAGTAAAGACATACCCTGTCGTAGATCTTCTATTATACAAATCACACGCATAGTCTGAATCCACATATCCTACGACCAAAGGATTATCCCGCTAACTACCAAAAATAATTCCATGTCCCACCGTACCCTTTAAGTACCTAAAGATCCACTTGACTACTTCTTAATGTTACTTACCAGGTTTAGACATGTACTTACAAACTTGACTAACAACATGAGCTAAATCAGGACGAGTACATACCATTGCATACATCAAGCAGCCAACAACATTAGAATATGAAACCTTTGCCATATCTTCAGCTTCCTTATCTGTCTTAGGGCACTGTTCTGATGAAAGCTTAAAGTGATTCGCCAATGGAGTGCTCACTGGTTTTGCGTTGCTCATCGCAAACCTTTCCAGCATTTTCTTAACATAACCCCGTTGAGATAGCCACAGTTTCCTTGAGTCTCTGTCCCTGTAAATTTCCATTCCAAGAATTTTCTTTGCAACACCTAAATTTTTCATATCAAATTCCTGACTCAATAAAGTTTTCAAACCGATAACATCATCCATGTTCTTCACAGCAATTAACATATCATCAACATACAATAACAAGAAAAAAAAGAACCATCATCAAGGCTCTTAACATAGACACAACAATAATACTCACATCGCTTGTAGCCAATCTTGATCATATATGAGTCAAACCGTTTGTACCATTGTCTCATAGACTGTTTTAACCCGTACAAAGATTTCTTCAATCTGCAAACTAAATGCTTGTTTCCAGGTTGAGTGAAACCTTCAGGCTGCTGCATGTAGATCTGCTCCTCTTAATCACCATGCAAAAAAGTAGTTTTCAAATCCATCTGCTCTAAGTGCAAATCTCAACTAGCCACCAATGCAAGTACTGCTCGGATTGAAGTGTGCCTGACCACATGAGAAAAAATTTCATTATAATCAACTCATTTCTGCTATGAAAAACCCTTTGCTACCAAATGAGCCTTGAACTCCTCCCCCTCTTTTTCTCTTACTGCTGGTTTCTTCTTATACACCCATTTGCAACCAATAGGCTTCTTACCCTCAAAAAGGTGAACTAACTCCCATGTGCGATTGTGATTCAAAGACTCCATCTCCTCAATCATGGAAGCCATTCACTTGT